AGTATTTTCTATATATATTCTATTTTACTCTACATTTTTGCCAAGTTTCTTAGCTCCACCAGTGCTCTTGAATTTCCAATCTTCCTGATTTCTTTGTCAATAATAGAAACTTCTCAAAATAAGAGCTTATCTGTTTACACGTCAATCCTTTATTAGACTACATTAACACAATCCACACGATGTTACAGCTGGAAATCTGACACATTTTTTCTGGTGTTGCAGGAAGCACTTAGAGACCTCTAAAAAAAGATGGTATTTTTAGACACATAATCCCTATGCACTCTCTCTGGTCCTTTTTTTCCTCCACAGCAGGGACTATTATTGCCTTTCTGTACAATGTCCTCTCCTCATATGGTACATCACAGCTGCTGCATTCAGTTGGAAAGCTGTTGTTGTCTATTCCCATCTCTGAATTGCAAAGTTGAATGGGAGCAGGGCACACCCTGAAAGAACAGAACTAAATAGGGAATTATTTTTACAGTCATGGAAGAGCCTGATGTTGCAAAATTCACAATTTGCTGATAGAAACTGAGGCCGAATGTGGTATGTGAAAGGACAAAAGTAGGTATGAAAGGAATTCCATTTTCATTATCTATCTCTATATATCTGTATGCAGATAACACTTCAAAAAATACATATAAAATGCTATCAATTATTTAAATATATAGTATATCCAATCTTACAAGCAAGATTTTTAAAAGCATACTGTATATCCAGTGATTGGAGGGAGGACCTAGATAACGTAATGTTTCCTCAAAATCATACCATTTCAATTCAGTCAAATCTTTGTCAAAATATGAAGACCCTATTGAAACCCTCAAAAACAATTACTGAAATTCAGAAAAACTGATATTAGTGGACTTCCTTTCAGAGAACTGGCAAACATAGCATAGAACTTTAATAGAAAGCTGTTAGGTAGGTATAGCTATTGGTTCCTTTTCCACACAGTAGCTGATGCACAGAAGGACTAAGCAATGCTCTCAAATTGAATTTCTCTCAAGGCAAGTTTAGTTGACTGAGCCAAGAACACAATGCTGGAGCTTCTGATTTGCAGGGCATGCTAGGACCGTATCGCTTCTTTAATCACAAGTACTATTCTGTGTTTCCTTCTAAAATAAGTGCAAAATAAGCAGTGCCCACTATATTCTCCTACAGCTCTTGGAACTTCTTGCAAGTTGACAACATAAAAAAATGGAAATATTTCAGATAAATTGATTAAATTAGAAACAAACAAAAAGTAGATCACTTGTGCAGACTTTTCCAGCTTTTATCTATAGGAATGCGTTTGGATAGGGTAGTAATAAAAGAGTGGCAGATACATCACCTGAATGCAAGCACTGTCAAGTACTTGCATCAAACTTTTTCCTGCCTTTTTTTTTTTCCCTACATATCATTTCTGCTCTTAAACATATAGATGTGCAAAACCCTTGTAACTTGGGGAGGGGGGCATTTGGGTGGGGGTGGAGGAAAGAGGCCTTTATCACTTCTCATGCAATTTTGAAAACCTAGAAGACCAAATCTTTATTGCATTTTTTCTACACCTCATTTCCTTCTTTGCTGCACATGATATTAAGTCTCTTTCCCTTCGTTATGCCTTTGTTACTATACTTCTTCCGGAAGATTTAATCCTTTTATTCCCACATAAAGTTTGAAACATTTGTAGAAAGCACTGGAAGGTTCTGTAGTTCCATTTAGAGCATCTAGACATTAATTCACTATTTCCCTAGAGAAGAATGTGGCCTTTTTCTTCTCCTCACTAAAACTTCCCCCTTCCCCCCTTTTTATGACCTAAAAGAGACAAGTAATACAAATCAGACAGATCTTTTTAAATAATCCCAGGAATGATAGTTAAACCCTATGTAATTTGGATATATAGAGGAAGAAGGAGAAGCAGGTGAGCTAGGCTAGAACGCACATCACTAAAGGCCTCAGGAAACTGGAAATTTGTTTTTTGTTTTAGCTGCTTGATGTGTTCTATTTCCCATCTAAACCAATATCTCTAGTTTAATCATAGCCTTACCTCTAAGGGTAATTATCATTTTTCAATATTCTGTTTCTTTTTTGCATTTTGAGAAGCCTCGAGCACAAATGCCCCAAACAACATCTATACAGGACTCTAGAAACTGTGCGCTCAGTGACTCACAAAACCCCTATCCATCTTCTCTGCTGTTTTGTAGTCAAAGTACTTCCTTAAAAACTTGACAAAATCACAACCAGGTGTGGCAGGATAGTGGAGATACATATCAAAAGTACTCCTGAAATATTTATGAAATTATAAATGTCAGCCACTCAGTTTACCTTTTTACTTTTATAAGCAAAATTTGATACTTTTATATATTAAAAAAGCTCATACTTCATTTTTTTTTATACTTTCATACTTTTCCCCTGGGATTTGCCAAGATACTAAAGAGAAATCTTTTTCATTCTTCATATAGCATAGACACCCTAACCAGACAGAAGCTTCATTTAGCACCAGACATTTGTTATGCGACTGAAAGAAGCTACACAGTAAATGACTGCAGCCAGCACTGCAGACCCCAAGACAAGACATTATTCTGGTTTGTTCTCAAGGGTTTCCTTGGGCTGAGTTCAAGAGAAACTAATGGCAGACTGTTTGCAACTGCTAACAAAGTGCAATAACAGGTACTACTGTGGCAGGACAGCAAAACACACATAAATCCAGCACACAGACATTCAATCTCATGAAAGAGTACTACGTATAAATAAGGCAAATAGTAACAAATTCTGAAAGGAACAGTCAAATGACCAAAAAACATACACACTGCCTAGAAGCTGTTGAAAAATGCTGTATTAGAAGCCCCTAAAACCTTGAATGACTCTGTAAAGCTAAGAAGGCTACACAGGGAACAACTCAGAATTTAGAAAAGCTCGCTAAGGGAGGAGAATAGGAAAGGACATAAAAAAAATTAAACATAAACAGTGTAGTAAGAGGGAATTTGACAGTGTAAGAAGTTGTGGAGGTATATGATATCAAAAAAAGATTCAAAGAAATTAATGGACAGTAGGTTCATAAACATATGCTACAGGGAATACACAGGGATACATCTTCCAACATCGCAAACCCAGTGATTGCAGATGCTGTGGGAAGGGAGGCAGGCTCACTCGCTCTGCCCTAACAGCGTTTGCTATTGCCATTGTCGCAGACGAGATCCTGAGATTGATCGACCATTGAGCATTTCTTGTGGTCTTGCCATTCAAAAGATGGGAGGAGTCACATTACTGTGCCACACCCAGAGTGCTATCCGTTACATCATGGTGACTGGGATTTGCCACCGGCGTGAATTTATTCATGATGTACCTTCACTGATCTCAGCTTCCCCAGAAATCCATCTGACTTCCCTTCTTTATTTTTTTATTTTTTTGCCATAAAAGGAAGAGAGAAACACAGATTTAAAATGTGCATGAAGTGGTACGTCTCTGTGTACCCAAGTCAACACACCTATGTGTTGAATCAAAGGAATGTTCAGCCTTCTTAATTGCTCCTTCATTTTAGGTAGTGAGGGAGATGTTTAGTCACTCTGCGGAGTGACATGCAATTGGAAACATAAAATTGTAGCTATGCAAATTAGACATTTCTCTGAAAGGACCTGTGATAGGCCTAAAACACTTGCAACATCAGGACATCCAGTTTACCCAGTCAGCTCTTGCAACTTCAGACAGGAGAGTATCAGGAAACAAAATGTTGCTGAATCACTCCATCTTTAAATTGAGAAACAAATACTTCTGATGCCAAAAAGAAAGATTCCTTTCAAAGCAGATTTTCTAAAATGTGCTGTAAATACACTAAATATTACAGAAGTCTACTGACCTACCTAAGAAAATCATTAACAGTCAGACGGTTTGCATGTTGACTAATGATGTATTTACTTGTGTGCAATAGGAGACAGGATTTTTTTATGGCTGGTCAATAGGATCGGACTGAGATATTAGAATTAATTGCAAAGCATCCAATGATCACAGGTGGGAAAAGAAAGCAAGGCGGTTGTGACTGTAGATGAAGACAACTGAGAACGTGGCTTAAATAACATGAGCAACTGAAATAGACAATATTTCCTTTGCAAGTTAAAAAGTAATGTGTGCTTTTTTCAGATTGACCTTATATATATACACACACTCTCATAGACAAAAGACATCAGACAGCTCTTTAAATAAGTGCTTTAAGGAGATCAAGTTTTCATAAACATAAACCTCAGAACAGTTTAGAAGAGCAAAATGTAAGAATTGAAGAGAACAGAACAGATAAAGACAAGAAGCCTGGTTGGTAAGAGAACAAGAGATCATCTGAATAAGATACTTTCAAGTGCAAAGTTCTTTGCAAAATGATGCAAGGGAAAGGGAAACTGTATTCTGATTTAGACAAACTGGGGAGAAAAAGATAAGGAGGAAAAAAAATATGACACTGGTCAAATGTTTTAAGTTTCTGTTCCAAGATCAAATTTCACAATAAATACAGTTTAATATTAAGAAAAAATAAATAAAACATGTTTTATGTTTTCTGGGGGATCAATCTGGTATTAATTTTCATAACACATAAAGCTTAAAAAAAAACATTTTAGGAATGTGGGAGTTTTAAATTTTATTAAGAATCTCGATTCTGAGATTGTATTTCCTTTCTCCTCCTCTTGCTGTTTATTTTTAAAGCAGTTAATAACACTGTGGATCAAGTTTCACTGTGGATCAATAATCTATAGAACTGAATTAAGCATTCCTTTCTGAAAAAACACAACTCATAAGTACAGCAAAAGTTACAGAGGTGTACTATGGACCTATGCACCAGTAGCAAGGAGTCAACAGTTGCGTTCAATAAAACACTATTTCTACATGCACACCATGATTTTTTGGTTAGCTTTTGTGTTTAGGGTATTTCACTGAAGCTTTATGTTTCTACTACAACAACATGTGTTTTAAATATGAAGCAAAACCACAATCTCTTTCAGTGTAACCTCTGAATGGAGATGACAATCAAATGTTCGTCCTACCTCATTTTGGAGGTCACGGATCATTTTGCTCTTCCTTTCCATTTCAGTCTTCAAAAAGTTAATCTACAAGTTTGAAGAAATGTGGAGTGTGAGTTGTTGAAATGTACCTAAACATCAGTTCAACTATTAATTATTTTTCTACTCTACTGACAGCTTTGAAAAAAAAAAAAAACAACAACAAACAAAAAAACCAAAACACAAAACCAAACAAAAAACTGTTTATATACCAAATTGGTATAGGCCACAGTTAGGTATTTGCTGAATCTACAAACATTTAGCATGATATTTACTAGAAAACTTATAATCAAGAGAAGAAAATTGCTGTACGTAAATAGGCCTACTTTGCTTTTGCACCAGTAGATACAGTGTTTACTTTTGGTAATGAAGCCCAATCTGATCTTCAGAGAACTAAGAATTTTTACAACATTATTAACTGATTTTATGATCTAAAACTTTTTATACCCTCTAAGGACACAGCATCTATCACAGCAGGTTTCTAACACAGTTATTTGGTTTGAATGCTACAATACTGGTCCTAATGAGATTATTCCACAGAATCAAGGGGTTTAAGTGTATTATACGTGAAAGCATTCAAATCTGGTCTTTAGTTCCCACTTAATTCAATAATTTGGCTTGGAAAGTAGAAATTCCAACCTTAGTTTTGAGACTGAATTTAATCAAACACAGTTTAAAAGACTGTTTTTATACATCAGTCTAAATTTCTCTCAGGATTGAGCTTTCCTGCTGGCTTATAGAACATAATGGGAGAAAGAAGGATGTAATTGTAACAAAAAGGATTAAAAGAACACATTCATTTCACTTTGAAGAAGGATGCTCTTGGATACCTTCATTAGCAAAATATTCGTCCCTATATACCCACTGCCTCATGCCGCATTCTCTCCCTTGATACAGAAGTCTACCTACGTTCATGGGAAACTACCATTGTTCTGACATTGCAGCAGACTTAAGAAAAACAAAACCTCTGTAAGAAAAGAGATTTAAATTATAGGGATGTTGACCTAGAGATTAATGGTTTGGATGTCATGCAGATAAAAAATGATAGTGAATCTCCATGATATGACAGCTGTTCTTAGAATCATGTCCACACCCAAGTAGACAGATGTCAGTGATTTAAAAACCATCACCAGACCTGACATCACTCTCATCTGTGTCAAAAGAGAAGTCAGTGAACACGATGATCACTCAGGAGAGAAAAGTTGGTAAGGGGTCCATGAGACTAGTGCCACCTGACACGCATAAATTGAACTTCTTTTGCAAACCCTTCCAAAACTTTGTCTAAGTGGTTTGGTTATGGAAACACTAACTCCACATCCAGCTACCGCTGAGGGCGATGTTTTAACAGAAGATGAATATATTCAGCACTTGCCCAGGAATCACGTCTACAAATACTGAAGTTTAGTCCATATATACTGTATAATACATATGAAGATTTTGCACAACAAAAAATAAAGGTCACAATCAAAATATGAGCTCAAGATTAATAGGAAAAAACATAAAATAACTATTCCCGTGGTGGGTTTTGGTTCTTCAGCTGTTCAAAAGATTTGCCAGCTACCATTAAATACTGACAAAAATCACATACCGACCTCCGTTAAAGAGTGTTCCCTTTCTTAGTCTTAACTCTCAAGGGAATATTAATATTCCTTCAAAGCACTTCACTTCTAAATCTGAATATACATGAAATAATTAAAGAGATATGATACCAAAATTATTATCTGTGTGCTCTCTATACATAGCTTGTAAGTATCAGCTTGGATCTTCTAGGGGAGAGATATTTAAGACACCACAGTACTGTTCATTTAACCAGCAATCTATGTTAGTTAAACCAGTAATTTTTGTTAATTAGTATTCACATACACATGCATCTGATATCACTGATGTGGACATCTTAAATAGTGCAAACTTACTGTTTTAGCTTATCTGAATAATTAAAACAAATTTTTTTTTACATGCCTTTCTTTTTGAAAAATAATACCAATGTTAATTAAGAAGTCATTCAATTTTGCTTTGATATTAAACCAGCATTTTTAAAGCTCTTCTTCTAAATCTCTAACAACTGAAGAACCACTTAGTCATAAAGTACAGCTATAGAGAGCTACATAGAAGGGATTTATATGGCTTGGCTACTGGAGCTAATATAAAGATAACCCTATCTATCCATTTAAGTGCACCTATGTCTATAATTTCATGCTTTAAGGCAGATCAGTCTGTATCAGACCATTTGCATGGTGCTTTTATTCAGTCCCAAGGACAACGCATAATACCATTTTCCAGAAAAGAAGTAGGAATTCTACTTTCAGTCACCAAATCCTGACAGCATAACAAACAAGAACGGTCATTTATACCCAGCTCTAAATTAAAAGGCACAGAAAATGGAATGTTGAAACTAAAAAACTCTCTACAGCTCTTCCTCCTTTCTACCCACTCTTTGTTCTTGTTTGACATTCACCTCTTTCTACATGTTGGCTGCCTTTAATTACTATCTAGCTGTAATTATGAAAATACATAATGAAAATATATTGTTCTAAGGCTGAACTTTGCAATATTAAGCAAGGACACTGCTTCTGTCTCCTGGAGACAGACATCCAAAGTACTCAGAGCTTTGTGTGTTTCAGAGCTCATTACGTTTATTAAAGGCAACAGCTTCCATCCAGTGGCCTTTATTCACAGCAGTTTGTGACCTTGAAATGTTCAGACTAAATTTTTCCCCATCGAAATACAGAATGCTTTAACAGATGGCAGTGATCTAATTCTAAGAGTCAGACAATAGTTAGTTATTCACTACAGACGAAGGATGGAAAATTACCAATGTAACGTCGCTACCCCACAGTCAAAGCTCAGCTGTATGCTTATTTGCTTACCTCCAGACTTCTTGTATCTTGCTCAGGACTAAGACAGGAGCAATTAAGGTGGGGTTGGAATGCATTCATTAACACCTAACTATTTTGGCAGCATCTGGAAACCTTAACACACTCAATATTAATTTTCATGGTCTAATTTTCAGGTTGTAGTGTAAGAATTGACTCCAAAAGCCAGGGAGAACTGGTTAGGCTATTACCTAAACCATAGGAAATATTCTTTCCTTTGGGAAAAAGCATTCTACAAAGTGTTAAATACTTTTGAAGCAAAGCTAAATATATTTTTACCTACTAGGATTTCTTCAGTGAACGTAACTTTTTAAGCTGTACGTTATATTTTAATTAATAAAACAGATTTTTGTCAAAAAGACATTTAGGACCTGTCATGAGGGCTGTTACTAAACTAAATAAATATTTTTGAAGTGAAATGAACATCTGAACTTTTTATTAAAAATATGGCAGACATGAGTTTGTGATGGTTCTTAAGATTCTTGTTTGGAGGTGGATATCTCTGAATTAAATTCCCCATATACTCTTAGTCTTTTATTACTAAGAAAAACCTTGATTTTTCTTACACTGATTTCACAATAACCATATTGTTTATTTTTACAAGTCACACATAATGTGTTACTTAATTCTCATTTTTCAAAGTGAACACCGAGCAAGTGGGAAAAAGGCATTTACACAAACGTATTTTGTCCTTTATTTTGACAGACAGTACTATAATTGTATTGTCAAACAATTCCATCACCATGTCTTTTTAAAAATTGTTAGTATGATATAAAATACCAACAGAAACAAAATGTAAAAGGCATACTAAAAGCTTACTCTACTTTGCCAAACTGTTTTTGAGTATTTTCCTGTTTCATTCTTTATCTTCTCCTTCATCCAGAGCTATCCAGCTCTTCTTATAAACTTTAATTGCAGTTAACGGGAAACAACTTTGCAAACCTCAAGGTTACTTCCTAAAAAAATAACTTTTTCTTAAGATACAAGCAGTTAGTGTGAAGTACAGTCAAGTGAAAAGCGCATCTCCAAAAAGCTCCAAGAAGCCTGTTAACCTACTGCATAGATACAGAATCACTACTTACCCTATTTTTCAAAATCACTGGGGGGAAAAAAACCAAACCAAACAAAAAAACCCCCAACTTTCAAGTTACATGTCTTGCTTGCCCTCTGTCTTTTTGTTAACAAAAGTGAAAATTAGTCCACGGTCCCTAATCCTGTTTCTGGAAGAAGTGGTTCCACTTCACATTTAGAGATACAGCTTGCCATTATAAATAAATGTTATAACTGCATAACAATCTATTATATATTGCTTAGGTATTTGATATTAAAAGCAGAACAAAAAGCTCTGTCAACCTTTATCAATTGTTAAAGAGGACAACAGGTTATTTGGAATTATGTCCCACATATTTTATATACATGTTATATAACTAAACCCAGAACAGTGCTTCTGACTAAAAAGCTTTATCTATTTAAGAACTGCTTTTTAGTATACAAATAATCCACAGTTCTAGCGTGAGATGGTCTGTAGAGAAGCTCCCTCACAAAACAAGGCTTTCTGGAAGACTGTATTTGACCTTGAACTTTGCAACATAGGGCTACTCTAAAATTTAAACCACCCGTATCATAACTAGTATTCCTCTGCACATTTTACTATCCCAGGTAGAGCAGCTGAAACGTGAGCCATAAATTTATCCCAGGTTTGCCATATATCCTCTAGGAAAGACCTGTCCCAGGACAGACTGCTGCTGTTCTTTATATGTTAGTGCTACAGATGCAGAAGAACCCAGAAAGGGAGCGCTCACTCCTGCTACGGGCCCCCAGGTCAGCCCTCAGTGCGACTAGTAGTTTGAAGGACAGGAGTGTCTTCACATCTCTTTTTTTTGTTTCCTCAAGCCTGAGTTGCTGCTTCCACCCTCAGAAAGTTGTCACTACCCAGCAGCAGCTCCGCCGGCCGCTCTCGGAGAGACTGTACCCACCAGCACTTCAGCAGATCCTCAGAACAGCAACTTTTCAGCTGCCTACCATTCTTGGCTTCTCTCATCTTAAAGGGCCCCAGAAATGGATAAGCACACACAGTAATGTCGATAACATTGTTTCTGATGAATCAGTTGTGCAACTGAGAGTGAAGAGTTTTGCCATGCATTGCAGAAGATGTGGATGCAAAGTGTAATATATTGCTGTGGTGTCTCCATTGTTCTTTTGATTTGGTCGGAGTCCTTGAACACCTTCCAGGTTATTTTTCATGTAATTTGACTTAATTCTTGTAAATTCTTAATTACACTTTTGCATTTATCTAATAAAGAACACCTTCAGGCAGGTGTTCCCTGTTGAATATACGCAGCCAATTAACATACAGTGAGCATTGTATTATGCCTCTTTGGCAAGTGCAGAAAAGAAGTATTTCCAACCCCCCTCCAGTGTTTTATTCATTTGGCTTTGAGAAATGTAATTCTATTCTTATTTACTCTGATGAAAATCAAGATTTACTTCACCAAATCCTGTAGAATAAAATGTGCTTAAATTGGATTAGAAACAAGACTCACAATTCATTAAACTAGAATTAAATTCAAGCTCCCATCCTCTAGCTAGGCTTGCCTCAAAGTACCTAGACCTTCTTTCACAGCAATTGTATTGCTTTCAGAAAAACGTGAAACACATGGAGAAACCAGGTGCAAAGTAACCCTGTGTGACAGCAATAATATCTATTTCCCTTTCTATTGCAGCTCTCATCTGAGGATCCTGAAGCACTTTTTGAATATTCATTCAGTCTCACTGTATTGGTGAGCTTCATTATGTACATTGTACCCTGAGGCATAAAGAAATAAATGTCACAAACCAAGGACACAGTTCTGCTTTCCCTAAAATCAGTGGCAAATTTAATTTCTATTACTGGCAATTTTTATAATACAGCTCAAAAATTCAGTTTCTCTAACCAGCTGACAACACTCCAAGTCAAGTTCTGTTGTACACTCAGAGGGGTTTTTCCTGATTTCTGCACTAGGTAATATTTTTGCTTACAGTAAACAGTAGATTTTGTTTGACTTGTGTAGAACAAATCTTGTGCTCTTTCCCAGTGCGAGGGTGCGGACTGGATTTACACAAGGCACTGCTGCTCAATTTAAAAAAAGCACTATATCACAAAGAACAACAGCGCCAATAACCCATTCAGTACCTCTGAGATCTATTTAACCCACAGCTGAATTAGTCTTGAATATCAAAATCTAATAGAGACATTAAATAACAAAATACATTTTCCACCTTTAATTTGTAGGACTAGAATTCATTGTGCTGATAAAGCTTGTGGGAATGTGTCTGTGCACCTGAGAAAAGAAAACTTTCAACCAGCATGTTCTTCGTACTTAGCAGAGACGACTAGGTTCTCATGTTTTCTTATTTCTGGACTATGTATCTTGTCTCAGTACAAAATCACCTTAAAACAAGTGCAGATTTTTTTAGTTGAAAGAAACCTGCAAAAGGAATAGTTTAGTTCAAAATCTACATTGTTTCTAATTAGAAGGTAGCATGTAAAACATGCATTCTCAGCTTGTTCACTCAGGGCATAAACTCATGTCTTGTTCACCAAGGGCATAAAGCCACATATTGTAAATATTTGCTAAATTTTGTAATTATTTTTAAACGTCTGTCTTGGAGCAACCTTTGTTTTGTGAGCCTGGAAGACAGTAAAATCTTACTAAATAAACAAGTAATTATCCAATATGAAACTAAAAATACATCTATAAAACCTTCTAGCAGCTTTTCAAGGCCAGAGTTAGAATCACAGAACACTTGAGGTTTGAAGGGACCTCTGGAGATTATATAGTCAACTTATGCTCAGTGGCGTTTGTGTTATAGAAATACTACTAACCAACATAGGAAAAAATTCCTTTTTACATCTTAAATAGCAAACATGATTCTACTTTTATTTTTTTTCCGCAATAGCAAAATGTGGCATCTTATGCCCCACAACATTACAGTGCTACACAAAAATCCAACCAATTGTACAGTTTATCCAGAAACAGAACTTCATTAAAGCATGAAATCTTAATGGGACCAAACACCTTCCTATAGTGATAATTAGATCAAGTCTGGTCAAAATCGGACACTCTATTACCTATTTTATTGCTGAAAATTGGTAGTGATTCCAAGAAAGTCAATGGGTGTATGACAGTGTATGTTGGTATAGATGAGACGTAAGGCTCCATAAAGATTACCTCATCAGGGAAAGGACTTGGGCCCAAGTCTCCAGGCCCAAATCTCCAAAAGCGTATACACACACCTAAATCCCACAGAAACAAGTGAAGACATGGATCTTAGCAATTTTGAACATACAAATTTTTTTTCAGCTTCCTTCTCCTGAAGCTTGTAGACTACTAACACTTCAAATCCAGATTTTTTACATGCAAAGTTATTTGAGCTCATGACAAAATCTCAAGGCAGAAGGATTAAAAAAAGACAGAAGAAACAAACAAAAATAACGAAAGAGGGACAGGGAATCACTCACGGTAGCCTGCTGCTTTTCTGCTTTTTCAGCTGCCTCATTAAGCTGCTTTTGAAAGGCCTCCTGGAGAGATTTCATTTCTTCCCTAGTTTGTTGAAAACACAGAACACAAACTTCATCAAAAGTGTCCAATAGGAAATAATTCTTCAGATTCAAGAAAAGGCACCTTTAATTATTCAGAGCAACAGACAGATGTACTGTGTCTATAAGTCTTGCTAATAAAATCATAATGACCCCATGAACAATAGTGCCAACTCAAGACAAAAATTATCTATGATGGAAACTGGCCATCTTTTACATCTACTGAATAGCCTGCCGTGCAAAACATCTGCCAGTGTATAATTTCTAGCAAAAAGGATTGGCACCAAAAAAATGAGGAAAGTGAGCTACTGAAAACACATCAAAATGGAACCATATTATTATCAATAAGAACTAGCTTATACCTGCTTTAAGATAAATAAATAAATAATGCTCTGATAAAATTCAACCTTTACCTGGCTCTTTCTAGAGGCAAGCAACACAAAATTCAGTAGAAGATTCTAGTAGACAAGGAAAAAAAAAAAAAAAAGAACACACAAAAAAACCCACAAAACCAAGAGGATAATTGCTTGGATTGGGCTTTATTTGAACCAAAAAACCCCTTTGCATTATTGATGCAGTCAGAGAATTTCTCCAAATTGCGAGAATTACGGTGGGCTGAGATCCTCTGCTGGCCATCTCTTTCTACCCACAGCATATGACACTTTGGAGCTGTGGCAAATTAGAGCAGTGACATATTTCAGAAGAGCTGCAGAGCTTGTTCAGGGCTGTTGCTTGCATGGGTAAACCTTCACAGAAGACCAACACGGAACTGGGTTTACACGCAGATAATAATTTAGCCCAGCGAAAACTAAATTGGAATGGAAACCATCTAGTTCATACAAGAGCAGAACTTGTGAGCTGCTGGATCATCTTTCTTGTTAGCCAATAACTCTACTACTCATAGCAATTTCGGCAACACTAGTACAGAACAGATTTAATTGAAATAGTGATTGAGCAGCATGAAACCAATGCACCATCAGCACAATACAGCATACAAACAGGTGCAATCATTTCAAAGTGCTGATGGTGCACAGAATAAAACTTGAGGTATCATAGTAAGTGACCAAGTTTTACTGGCAACTTGGGAAATACTGAAGAATTCTAACAAAAGGGATTAAAAAAAAAAAATCTAATTTGAAGTCAGCAGAACTACATCTACTTACACAAGCTGAGATTCTAGCACTCTAAACTTTACTCTATCATCCATCACTGCAGAGAATAATCAAAGCTGTTTTCACAGACCAAACGCAACTCACGTTTGTCCAAAGAAAGAAGATCATAAGATTAATATTGGGATATATTTTGAATTTTGATTCAAATACAATAGATTTAAGCATAAGGCTGTGTTCACTGTTCTTCACTTGCTGCAGATGAAGCACAGCCTGGGGCTCTTGGCAAATAAACTGTGACCCTTAGTAAAATTCTGTGAAGGAGATACCCTGCCATATTTTTAACACCTCCTTCTTACTCTGAACTTCCACACCCCTCTGGAAGTGAAATCCAGTAAGCCTGTAAACAGCTGTCAAGTGACCTTAGTAGCTCCAAAGCATTTTCTTGGAGTATATTGCAAAAGCCTTTTATTTTCACAAAGAGGGTGAGGGCTGCTCAGCAGCATATTGCACTGATCCCGGGTCTATCTCTGGGAACTGCTGCTGTGCAGTATACTCAGTAGCTGAATCCCTTAGAAACAAAAGTCAACATGTACTTTTGGGTGGACCTTGCGAGACTTTAAGGGGTGATTTAAAGAGGAGATTGGGAAGAATATTTGTAGTACGTCGTAAAATTTTCCCTTAATTTGCCCTTAATTTTCCCACCTGCAATAAAGATCTATTTAGTAAACAGGCCATTAATATTTTTAATCAATTAATCTCTCTGTTTCATAAAAGCTGCACAACAATCAAACCACTACACAATCACATTCCTGTATGAAGGATGGAGTCAGTGACAAGGGCAGCTATGATGCTGAGACATACACCTTCAGTTGCACCCAAGCCATGTAAGTGTTTAAATAGAATGTTAGTTGAAGTTTTGCTTTCATCATTTAATAGATTTGTCTGGAATACCTGAAAGATTCTTGTGTATCTGATTCTCCTCTATCACAGTAAAAATGAGAACATCTATGCATATTGTATTATGGCTCTTATTTGTTGTGTATTGAAGAACTGAAGGTCATTTTATCACAAACCTTCTCTGTAGAAATGCAATTTCATATGTACTTCTATTAAATACAATATCAGCAATAAGATGGCCATGGGATTTAAATATTGCATTTCTAACAATGAAAGAAATATGAACTTTATTAAGTTTTTCAATAATTTTTTTTTTCTAAGGAAAAATATGAAGTATAGGTGCATTCATTATATAATATTGTTTCAGTGAAAGTGATCTCTATATTGCCTATGTTTTCTTGTTATTAAAACTGTATTGATGTTGTTAGTTGCTGGTCTGAATTCCAAGAATTAAGAGAAGCAGAATGATGAGAATTACTTGCGATCAAGCACTAAGAGACTTGAGACTAAGGACCAGACTGGGAGCTTGCATTCCCAGGCATAGAAACTCCTAAATTTCTTGAGTGCTCAATGAATAATCTGAAGTGAATATTCTTCTCTCCTCCTGCCTTCTTCACAGATATCCAGAGCAAGTATTCCTACCTTTGCACAATGACTAGTGATTTTGAGTGTCTACATGCATGAATATTTAAGAGGCCTGAATAAATATATATCATCATCTCCAAATTCAGAGATTGAGATACTTTAATAATTCAATTAACAGGGCATTACCATCCACTAGTAATTTTCGAAAACTTCTGATTTTATTCTCTTTAAGAGAAAATTTCATGACTAAACCTTCCTGAGAAATTAAAAATCCCTTTCTTTATCAGATTAGAATCATAGAATGGTTTGGGTTGGAAGGGACCTTAAAGATCACCTAGTTCCAACCCCCCTGCCATGGGCAGGGACACCTGCCACTAGACCAGCTTGCTCCAAGCCCCATCCAACCCGGCCTTGAACACTGCCAGGGATGGGGCATCCACAGCTTCTCTGGGCAACCTGTTCCAGGGCCTCACCACCCTCACAGCGAAGAACTTCTTCCCTACATCTCATCTCAATGCACCCTCTCTCAGTTTAAAGCCATTACCCCTTGTCCTTTCACTACAGGCCCTTGGAAAAAGTCCCTCTCCGGCTTTCCTGCAGGCCCCTTTAGGTACTGTCAGGCTGCTGTAAGGTCTCCCCGGAGTCTTCTCTTCTCCAGGCTGAACAACCCCAACTCTCTCAGGCTGTCCTCATAGGAGAGGTGCTCCAGCCCCCTGATCATCTTTGTGGCCCTCCTCTGGACTCGCTCCAACAGGTCCATGTCCTTCTTATGTTGGGGGCCCCAGAGCTGAATGCAGTACTGCAGGTGGGGTCTCATGAGAGCGGGGTAGAGAGGGAAAATCACCTCCCTTGACCTGCTGGCCACGCTTCTTTTGCTATATCTCACTCCAGCATTTCGATATCTTTTCCTAACATACGTCCAATATCAGTAAATACATCATTTGTTTCAGAAACTTCCCCAAATAACATTCCCTGCCCCTATTTTACTGTTATAATCATCAGATTCTGAAATACAATAGCATTTGCAGATTAAAGTAAAAGGAAAAATGGAATTTCCTAGTCTGACAGTTTTCAGTCTGGAAACAGAAAGAGAAGGGAGGAGGTAGGGTCTTACCTTTGCTTTTGGCCCAGTTCCAGAAGTTTCTGCACATCATTTTTGGCTGATGCTTCATCATTTTTCAAAGACTGATAGCAAAGGAAGAACTCTATTACCAAAGAGGTCTTTAATATTACTCATCTGTGAAATGATTAATTTGGTCCTCTTTCATTAAATGTTCCCAGTGAATTACAGATATTACCACTTGTGAGAAACAGAGGAACAGCCTGACTTTTCTTTTACCGTAACTCACCACAGCTAACTGTACACAGCTGTTTTTCAAATATTAAATGAGAGCTAATCAAATAAAGTAAGTAGATTTAGAAACAAACAAATAACTAAAAGCACTGAAATTGTATGACAAAGATATGTGTCTATATACAGAAGATACTACTACAGCTCTTTGCCTATATCTGGATCTCTGCAGTGTCGAGTCTAAAATATCTCGCAGTATAATTTTGCTGAATACTAGCTTCAATTGTGCTGCATAAGAAATCCAATTCTAAAATAACTGTTACAAGGAGAAGCACATTTCTCTAAAAAGTAAGAAGAAAACCCCTACCATAAAAAGGAGTAATAAAGCACTAAAACAAACAAACAAAAGAATAAAAGATTCAAGAGTTCACATTAATTAGAACCAGAAAAGTCTGGAATATAAGACAATATAACATTTTAAGATAATATAGCACAGTACTGATACATTGTACCAGTATTCTTCTGTGAACAGATATAGGGATTTCACTCCTTATATTTTTTCCATCTAGCTTACATCAACATGAAGATAAAAATGCGATGTCAGAAAAATACTGTCTTTTAAAATGGTAGGAAATGGAGACAAATCTCAACTGATAATGAGCCTGAAAGTTTTCACCAGACCAACAGACTATATCTGGAAAAGACAGGCGTGCTCCCAAGTGAACATCTGGCGTTTTCAGGACCTCAAATCTAGAGCAGGATTTTTAATCCACTTTTCACTCTGAGAAGTTGATTTGACTCCAGAGTTAATCTGACTACGGCCCTTTCAGCCTACCCATGACACCGAAAAGTTAAACGCAGAGGTGTCTCAGCTCTAGCTGCTGGCTCATCTAGCACAATTTGTCAGCTAAACTTGTAAAGTAATGCCCTGCGGTACATCCAGTCAGTCCGTGTAGATGGCATGTCAGGTGGGTAAAGTGAGCAGCTAAACTAGGCTGAGTATATGTAACTCATCAGCAAAGATGCAACCTGCAACAGCAAAGGAAATCCTCTATAGTAGCTGCCAGGACAAATGCGTGGTAACTCCACTAAGACAGCTTATTCTTTTTCTTTCCCTTCCTTTTTTGTTCTACTATGCCCTATTTTCATACTTACTTTATTTTTTTGAGTAAGTGGACAAAGGGCCCAACTCATTAGGGTTACATTTTCCATAAATATGTCTGCTTTATGTTAAGTAAAAGATCAACAAAACAATAATTATTCACATATTTAAAAAAAAACCAAACAACACATTTTTTGTAATAAATAGATATCAATATGAAAAAGTCAAGGTAAGTAATCCTATAGAAACCAAGAGAGAACCTAACCTGGAGGTTTACTTTAATTCCCTCGAGTTCTTTAGAAGTCTTCGAGAGTTGACGAAGGATATTGCTCCTTTCCTTAAAGACTTCTTTCAGCTGTCTTTCCAGTTCTTCATAGCCCTGTCTAACACAGAAAATAAAAGCATGAGATCTTCTCAAAACATTACTCGATGCAGTTGAAAAACAGTCTTAGTTCATCCAAATTGAATTAATTCCAACACTTTTTATAGATTCCAAATTGGAGTGTGTGTCCCTGTTCACCTATATAACAATGATTTCTCCTAATGTAGATAAATAGAAGTTTAACATGTCAAAATGATGTGCTGCATCTGAGTATGCAAATTATCAAGACTGAAACACTGCAATTGGTGTATTGTCTGTGATGAACAGGAGACAGAAAGGATGTATTTAACATGCGTGGTGGTACATAGCCTGAGATTTTTCTTGTTTCTTGACATTCCATGCAAGAAACCAAGCAAAACTTTGAAAGAAGTGTGAAGTTTTGTGACACCCAGTAATTTGAGGGAAGGATGATTCGGATCCATTTTAACTTTGTAAAATTTATTTCATTCTGCAATTTCTCCTCACTTAAACCTCCCCACAGTATAAACTAGAACTGACAAATATGCTAAGAGGAGTCAAACTTAATTATTAATTAATGGATAAGTCAAAATATTCTATCCTTTTCAAAATGGTAATTTTTACTTGGAATATAACTATACATTTTAAAGTTTTTATAAAATCCACAATGAAATAAATCCAACACATATTGGTTTAGGTTGAATGAAACACAGATCCAACTCTCATACTCCATTTCAGAAAAAAGCAGAACATTACAGTTTTTTTAAAACAACATAATTTTTCATTTAAAACTGTCATTTTTAGGAAGACTGATCAGTAAATTGAAAAATCCATTCCTTCTACAACTTAATTTTATTTTTATTTTTTTTCCTCCTTGCTCTACCTTTGGTTCTAAAAAGGGGGAAAAAAGAACCTCAACTCTGCCACACATCAGTACTATTTTATTATCAGATACAAGACCTTGAAGTTAAACAGGAATCTTAACATTCCTTTAATGGATTTTGAATACAGATTTTAGAAAAGAAACTCTAAAGCAAATTAAATATGCTATCTAATACCAGTCCTATCTATTTTAGGAATAGACAGCTCATGAAATATGATAGATTTATGAAAAAAAGAAAATTATTCTATATTAAATCATACTTTGGATACCTAGAAGAGATGAAAGTGTATAAAACATCTCCTTCATCAACACAAGACTTTAGGCAAAGAAACTTGACGTTATACTGAAGCTTCAGCAATAATTATATTTGGCTTTGACAGAATGTTCCAAATTAAAAAGCATAGAGTTCTTTGAGTTTGCATCTCTAATGAAACACAAAACACGTCCAATTTCTGCTTGCTGCTGTAAAACAAGAACTGAGATGTTTTGGTCTGCAATGTAGCACCCTCAGTGAAGATCTTCAGCACAATTGCTAGGTCAACTGTTTAATTTTACAGTAGAAGTTCTCTTTTAGAGGAAAGTTGAAATGGAAAACAGTACTGAAATCCAGCCAGCCCCCCCCCCCCAAAAATTTTAAGGTTTTCCAAGAATGTCACCAAAAAA